CGCAGAGGGGGCCACTTCCAAACAAGGCCGCCAGCACTCAGTGGGCTCTGCTGCCCAAGGCTTAGACTGCAATGTATTTGGAACCTGGCCATTTCATTTTAATAGCCTTTTGGAGAAGAGTTATAAACACAAGGCCAAGGCCCGGAGCCTCGGCCCGGCTGAGAGATCTTTTAATACCAAGTTTGTCTATGGCTGCTCCGGGAAGCTGGCCAGGCTCAGGTTAGTGACATTCGAGGAGCCTGAATTGGGAATCTTTATCCAGCCACGATCCTCCCTGACTTCTAGGGCAGTCTCCTCTGCACGAGGAATGCAGGGGAGGCAAAGGGATTGGCTGGAGCACGCAGCCAGAGATGCTTGCTTCTGGGCCAGAGACGCTGCCTTTGTTGGCGGGCAATGCCTTCCATGGGCATCCAGCTAGCAAGCCCGCTATGGTGGTCTGCACATGGGAAATCCTCCTCTCACAGAATTTTCTTCTTTCCCTCTTCCCTTCCTCCCCACCCTCCTTCTTCTTCCTCTTTTCAACAAAACTCAAAAGCTTTGTTCTTTTGCAGACAGGTTTAAACACAGGAAAGCAGAGCTCAGAATCTTCCCTCATTCCTCAGAAGACTATGTCAATGGGGATCTGGCCTGGACATCCAACCGACAAGTGCCCCAAATCTGGGTCGGGTCAGGCGGTCCTGTGCGGGTGACAGGTACTGGAGATTTGGTCTCCCTTTAATTGTTAGTCAAAGTTTCACGCTGTCTTCCTTTCTTTCTCCCTGCTGGAGGCCGCAGAGGCCTGGAGCCTTGGATAAGTCACTCTCATTCTGCAGGGGACAGCGGAGAGATGACAGGACAGAGAAGGGAACGGGCCACCAAAGCTCTCTCCACAGCCGCGGGCTGGGTGGAGTCTGCCTCCTTCCAGGGAAGCTGATTGCTCTTGCACCACCCAGGCCACAGTGGCTCTGCCCATGCCACCCTCAGGCACATGCAGGGCAGACCAGTGACAAAACCTGAAAGTGGATATGCAGGCCTTGCCTGTCCCTTATCCAGCTCCGCCCATTTGCCACTGTCCGGGATCTGACAGCAGCGGATCTCACACTGGCACATACAGTGGCAACAGCATGAGGGGTTTCCTTGTTTTATTCTCCCGCTCCGGTGAGTCACGCAGGGTGAGAGGTGGCACTCCTTTCTGCACCTGCTCTGGGGCTTCAGGTTGCTGCCAGTCAATCAGCAACAATTTCTATCCCGCTGCTCCTCTGCCCAGCTCCCACTCATCCTGAAGGCTTTGGTACACTTTCTCCCCAATGGCACGAAGGTGATACGCATTTCCAGTGTCTTCTGGTCAATAGTCTGAAGACTGATCAGGACTTTTTCCGTTTAGGGAGGACCAGTGAGTAAGAAGACAGATGCTCCTCTAGTTTGACAGAACTTTCTGGTAGGAAGAGCTGGTGTGTGAACTCCTTCGGGAGGTGTTCTGCTTCTGAGCGTCATTCACAGGATTACCTGAGCCATTTAGAGAAAGTACCAGTGACTGAAGGCTAACAGGAGCCAACCGCTGCTAGTGGAGTCCTGGTGGTTGTGGTTCCCTAAGTCACCCGCTGCCTGCGCTGCTATGGTGGACTGATAACTGGCGGTAGACTTGTATCACCCGCTGAACTCAGTCAGTGGTGCCGAGTGTGGAAGGCCCCCCTGAGCACTGCTGCCAGCATAAAAAGAACTAGAGAGGAAGGAGTGGTGGTGTTGGTTCTCCTGCTGCCGTTGGTTCTCCTGGAGGAGCTTTCGAGCTTCTTTCCTGATATGAACTTGGCTGTTTAAGAGAGGATCTCGGGACTTTGCTGCTCCTGAGAATGGCTGTGGTTCACTCGGGGGAGCTCTGGTCATTTCTTGGCTCTGGAGGGCAGGATGTATGTTGCTCAGTCTCTGGGAGAAGCTTGTCACACGGCTTCCTGATATGAACTTGGCTGTTCTCATTACTGGAGGAGCTCAGGACCTCACTGTCACTGAGGATGCCTATGTGTTTTTCTTTTTTTTATCGGTACCAGGGATTGAACTCACAACCACAGACTTGCAAGGCAGGTACTTATGCCACTGAGCTAAATCCCCCACCCTGAGGATTCCTATAATCCTTTTATGGGGAGCACTGGTCCTTACCTTGAGCTCGCTTCCTGACTCCAGTACAGATCTCTCAGCCTGCTGGTACAGATCCTTCAACCCACTGGCGTAGATTTTCTAGCTTCCTCTGACCTTTGGGCCTTCCCAGATCCTTGATGCAGACTTGCAGGAGACACTGTCATGGGCTCTTGGCCCCTAGTTCGACTCAGGGAGGGCATTCTAATGGGCTCGAGAACTCATGTAGGATGTTGCCGTGGGATCCAGGTCCTCAGCTGGATTCTTTGAGTCTTCAGTGGACAGATTTCCTGCACTTCTTATGTTTAACTCTTTAGTTGTTTATTATAAAATAACTCTGTAATTATATGTCCCATATGTAATTTTCCTTGCAATCTCTGACTACAACAGCTGCCAAGTAACCCTCCCTCTTCAAGTGGAAGCCACCCCTCTTTCTCATCTGTGAGGCTATCAGTTTCAGCTTTCTGCTCCCAGGAGACAATGCCCTGACTGTCCCATGGGTTTTCTGGGTACAGGTCCCCAAATGCCCTGAGTGGCATCAGAGACTTGGGCCAAGGGTGGGCCTGAGATCTGCTCAGACTTCTGGCTAGGGGCTTCCCAGTGGCTCTCCAAACTCTTCTCTCTGGGCTGCCCCAAATGCCTTGTTGACCCAGAGCCTAAGTGCTCAGGAGTAGGGCAGGAGAGGGACACATGCAGGTCCAGTCCCTCAGAGCTCACACAGCAAGGAGCAGCCGCTGGGATGACTTCCTGGACCCCGTCTCTCCCACTCACGGTGTGGATAACAGCTGCACAGGATCCGGTCCCCCCTGAGTTGCTGGACAAAGATAAGTTCCCAACTGTCTCATTTCTTTTCCTTGGGCCTCTGGCAAAACTACCTATGTCTCAGTGGCTCAATTTCTCCATCTAAAATCTAGGGATAATTAATACCCATCTCGGAATCTTTTAAGATTTATGAGTTAACAAATGTAGCATGGCTGAAAACCATGGCCAGTACACTTTATACAAGCATTAGTCATTACTATGTGAGGACATTGCATTCTCAGGGAACATTTTTTTGTATCAAGTAGGTACTTTTTTCAGTTCCAATTTTTCAGGGTGACGATACCTGCACCATTTTTAGACTGGAAAGCTTACAAAACATGCTTCCTGATTATGTAAACCACATGGCCTGACTTCACAGTAATGAAGTCAGTTATAAGCAAGCATCTTAGATCATGATTTCCACTGGCCCTAACCCAAGTCCTATAGGCTATGAGTGACGAGCACATGGACAGAAGATGGTCTTCTGGCTGCGCCCTCTCTGTGGGTTTGGATTCTCGCAGGAAGAGATCTTCCTCTCCCACATCCCATCATCTTCAATGTTTAGAACCTTTCGTTTGTCTTAATCTGTTACCCCCACCCACAAAACATGAACATATCTGATAATCACTCCTTGGCATTCCTGCTAAGTCTGAAGTTATGGATACAACTGCACGCTTGCCATGACGCACTCAGAACCTTAAACATATTGGAGACAGTTATCACCAATTAAAATTTGGCGATTTCCCATGAAAACGCAGATTTCTGCCTTTGCTTGTAACTAGCAGAGTAAGCTAGTGTGAGCCGGTTCGCCACACAGAGCAGTGGGCTGGGGAGCGCAGCCCTCTATGGGCTTCTCTAGGCTGCCACGTCTTGCCTCCCCAGGTGGTCTCTCTCAGTCCACAGCCCAAGTTAGCTGCCTTTTCTAACTATACTTGCTACTGCTGCTGCTTCCTAATAATAAGATGTCTTGCGCCCATCTCTCACCTGATCCCTGTAGACATTTGGATTTGTGACTTCTGCTATATCAGAGGCTTCCATCCACATGCATTTGCATTTTAGGTGTTTTAGGAAGATTGCTGTGGAGTGGATAGTTCCCTGATTAAAGGAATTCTGGCACCAAGACGCTATCACAATGCTGACCCTTTGATGGTTCGGGAAGTGAATTTGATTGCTATATGTGGAATGTTCCAGGGAAGGAGGACTACATAAATCACCTGCCCCGCTGCTCTCCAGCCCCACTCAGCTTCCTCCAGAGCTGAAGAGGTGCTCCAAACTCTACGAGACTAGAACGAGGCACCCATAAAGTGGAATGGACAGGTGGATGAATGCGGGACCTTTTCTTCAGCTCCTCCATGGATGGGAGGCTGCCTGCCTGGCCCATGGGTCTGCTCCAGCTAGGCTGTGCCTTTCACAGGAAGTGAAACCTTAGCCTCCTAGCCCATCTCCTACTTCCCAAATCAGCCCCAAGCCTTCCACACATTGATTTTATGCTTTCTGGCATACTAGAACTTATTTTACTTGGTGCATAATTATTTTTATCTTCTATCTTGGAATATGTCCTGAGGTCTTTGTGAGTTATAGTCCATTTCTGAATATTCTGATCCAAACAGCAACAATATCACTTGAATGTTTCCTGTCAGTCGAGACACATCATATACTCTGGGTTTGGGTTGGTGCAGTAAAGAATTCCCAAAGCTTAGGATTTTACCTCCTAGGCAGGAGCAAGAAAAACCAAGAAGCAACTTCCCTTTGGTATCCCAAAACCTTGTAAGTTTGTCCTGATTGAAAGCTCAGCTCTGAGGGTCTGGAGGTCAGAGCTGCTGTTGTGGTAGCTCCACGACAATCTTTAAACACAGACACCTTTGAAAGCAGGGATTTCCCTGTGAGCTCAGGGATGACTACTCAGAGCTCTGTGCTTATATAGTGCATGGCTGCACTGAAGAGGAAAGGGGTGGACAGAGGCTACTGGACTAGAAATAGGAGAGAAGCCCAGTGAAATCCCACAGGACAGGGAAGGCTCACTGCACTGCAGGGCCAGGCACAGCTCCATACACCCAAGCACAAGAGTGAGGGACAGGAGCAGGGCTCACCGTGGTGTTCTGGCCTCCCGGAAGTGACAGCAGCATGGGCAACCAGGTGGGCAGAGTCTGCGGCCTCCTCCTGAGAGGGGTCTCTCCCCAGGACGATGGCATGAGCCTGTCACCATAGAAAGAAGAAACAAGTTGTCTATAGATCGGCAGCAGCAGTAGGAATTAACCATCCTTCCAGTGATAAGGCCAAGGAACCTTCCAGTGCACCTAAAGAAATGATGGATGTGAGTGTAATCGATTCTTGGAAGAGCCGGGTTTTAAAAGCACTGAGTGCCAGAAGGATGCTGCTGGACTGTGAGTCCACCTGGCTCTGCGCTATGGTTGGGGCCTGTCATTAAGTAAATCATTTAGAGGTTTAGGGTCATTGTAAGTCAGCAAACGGTAGGCAAGTTTCCAAAAATAAAAGGCATCAGTGTGAGCAGAAGTGGGCAGGCCCAGCTCCTGACCTGCTGCTCAGCCCAGAGTGGGATCATGCAGGGCTCAGCAGGGGTCATGCACAGGCAGGGCTGATGCCCCAGGGCTGACCTGGACGGCCACTGGCTTGCAGCCTAGGAACTGGCCAACAACGGGAGCTGTCGGCTTGGTGTGGAAAACTGAGCTCCTAGGAAACAAAGCCTACTTAAAAATATTTTAAGGAAAAAAAAAAAAAAACTGTGATCCTATGAACATAGACTATAGAACATAGACATAGAACATAGATCATTTCAAATAAAATATAAACCACATCTCTCCAGATAAAAAGCCAGAGTTCTTCTTCATCTCCTTGTCAGTATTCAGAGCCTGAAAGACACTCGCACCATGTTTCCATCTGTCCCAACCATGTCACGATGTGGTGCCTTGGCACAAGCCCAGAAGCAGCCAGCCCTCCCCATTGTGCACTGACACCTGCAACTTCTTCAGCCAAAATAAACTTTTTTCTCTTTTTCAGTTGATTTATCTCAGGTATTTGACACAGCAATGGAAAGCCAAGCAAAGGGAAAGGCCAAGATTTCTCACAGCCAATAAGGGACGGGAGATGCACTTCGAATTCTGCTTCGAGGGTCAGGTCTTGAATTCTGCCCTCCTCCTGCCCCCAGCCCATGATCAGATGTCACTAACTGATGCCAGGACATCCCCAGAAGCACCTCAGTTCCGTCTCCAGGGGCTGGGCCTGATCCGTGGCGCTGGTGTAGGAGACAAAGTCACCCCAGCCTGTCTGCACCGAGTCTGCAACCTCGCAGGCTGCTGCCTACTCCTCTCATGGTCCCTGAAGGCATTCATGAAACTGTAATTGTGGTGGCGGCACCCTCTGACGCCAGACAGTCACCCCATTTGTCACGTGTTCAAATCTCAGCCACTAGCTTAGACTATCCGAAGTAGGGGCTTCTCCAAATTGAGATCTCTGGCAGTAACTTTTATTGCTGTGTGAGAACAGTCAGATTTCTTACTCATAAATGCTAACAAGCACCCTTTGCTGCAAAATGATTTTTTTCATAAGTGGACAGAAGGAACAAGTATGTGATTTTGGTGGCCCTGGATTAGTCCCTGATCTTGCTGTGGCATGAAAGGTCCAATCTTAAACTCTGACGTGAAGTAGTTTTTCAGATAAGAGGTGCTTGGGAATGTAATTTCATGTATGTACCAACTATAGGGATCAAGGAGCAGGTCAGAATATCACATGTTCCATGTTTGGGGAAGAGATAAAGGAGCAGAAACATCTTTACTCCCTTAGCTGCAAACCAAGTCCTGCTTACCTTGTGTTTCCCTGGGTTATTTATCTCGACAATCCATTCTTTGAAGGAACCAGAGGCTCCCTGGGACTGTTACAAAGCCTGGATGCAAGCTGTTTTAGATTGATTAAAACTCAGGTTCAAAGAAGATTTTTCTATTTTCTATTTCACTTCTACTTGGTATTATAATTCAAGGAAATGTAATGAATGTGTCTATCAAAACTACTTTCAAAGCTGGGCATGGTGGCTCATGCCTGTAATCCCAGCACTTGGGAGGCTGAGGTAGGAGGATCGTTGCGAGTTCGAGACCAGCCTGGGTTACAAAGCGAGTTCAAGGCCAGCCTGAACTGCACAGCGAGACCCTGTCTCAAAAAAAAAAAAAAAAAAAAAAAAAAAAAAAAGAATTAAAAAAAAAAAAAAAGCTACTTTCAAATGGGTAATTACATGTTCAGAAAGTATCACAAGTTGATTTTTGCCTTGGAGACAGAAAGTGATCCTTTTGCAATACAGGCAAAAATAAAAAAATCTCACAATATCACAGCATCGAGAACATGGGCTCTGAAAGCTGGAGGAGGTCCGAATTTGTCACAATTTTCACGACCTCAACACTTTTTGATGTGAGGTTGAAATACTGTATGAGCAAACATTTATTATTCATTGTTTATTCCAGAAACTGAGCCCTCATCTAGTTTACTATTTGATATTCATGATGCTTTTTAAAACCATACACTGGAGGAGGAGAAGGAAGGGGAGGGTACCCAGGATACCTAAGACATGCCAAACTAGCTTCTCATTTATTCAGTAAAATTGTATTTGACTCAGTGGAATTTAATTCATTCCCATTTGATCCAATGCATTTTAACTTTTGAATACTTTTTCAATATCTGATATTGTGTCAACACTAGGAATTCACACATACAGGGACTTCAGCTTCAAAGGAGATCACAGGTGAACCACCGAAAAGTGGGGGAGGTTCATTTTATGGGGACACGCAGACACTGCCCCTAGCTGTGCATTAGTGCTGGCAGGTGCACTTCTCCTGTTCTCATTTCCAGTGATTTAGCACCCAGGAGACTGACCTGTGCCTGTCAGGCAAAGAAAAGGACTGTGCGCCTGTACAGGCTAATGGATAAAAAAGGGTCAATAACATAACCGCGTGTTCAGATGAAACCCAGTGAAGAGAGCTCAGGGACCCAAGAAAAGAGGCTTCGAGCAAGGAGCACTGGCTATCACTGGGAAGGTGAGTTATCTAGGTGTCTGGTGCACACCTGAAATCCCAGCACTCTGGAAAGCTGAGTCAGGCTGGAAGAGCGAATGTGCAATCCCAGCGTGGGTCACTTAGTGACTTATCGAGGCTCTGTCTCAAACTAAAACATAAAAGGCCTGGGATGTAGCTCCATGCAAAGGGTCTGAATGCAATCATGAGTCACCAAGTAAATAAATAAATGCCTGGGTGGGGAGAAATAAAGATGAATTATGGGGCCGTAAGGGGAGAGAGCAGCAGCCCAGCTGCAGTGAGCTCACAGGGAGGAGCTAAGGGGATGCACACCCCTCTCTCCCCACCTCCACAGCCCAGCCTGTGTGGTTCTCAGGCAGAGGACAAGGACACTGATCTGGGCAGTCTCTGGGGCTCAGAGCAAGGCTGAGAAGCAGGCAGAGAAAAGCTGCGGGGGACAAACACAGGTGCCAAGCCAGCACCTTCACCTCTCAGGCTTGCGACAGACTCATTGTCCCCTGCATGCTTGAGTGTCCCATGTCAAGCATGAGATGGTGAGAGCACAGCCATTCAAGCGACTGTCAGTGGGGCAGGCCACATACATTGTAGGTTATTCACACAGCAACTGAACTTCTTCCATATATTTTAACCTGATTACATTTTAAAAAAATACATCACTGAGCAGAAAAGAACAACTTGCAAGTGGATGCAGACACCATGGAGCCAACAATTGTCAACATATTTTCTGAGGCAGAAGGATGCCCTTAATTCTGAACAAAATCCTCCCTGGTTCTCTAAAGGATGCAGAAAGTGGGTGGAGGGGCCTGGAGCCCACCTGCTGCTCCCCCTGGCAGCCCCCAAACAAGCTCCATGGAACAGGAACGCTCCAGGTGATACACAGAGAGCCACAGCATCACACTGAGGCCTCTGTAAAGAGGGTGTGCAAGGCTGTCAACAGGACTGGTGATTAGATTGCACCGTCTCACCAAACAACCACTGCTAACGGTTTTGGAACAATGCTTGCTGGCTAAGAGAATGCAAATGCCCCTGTGACATGTGTCTAACAGCATTTAAGGACTAGGAATTACAGCAAACAGAATTACAAGAGGACTCTCCTGGGTTTTTGCAGGAGCCCACATAATGGGCCCCACTGGGGAATCCTGCAGCTTGGCCACACTTGCTTTTCTACCTTGTAATTTTTTTTTATCTCCCCCAGGGTGTGGGTTTCCCCTCATACCCTTTGTTATTTTCAATATCTTATTGTTATATGCTTATCAACTGTCATCTTGGATTCAGGGAAGAATGTTTAATGTCTCCAGATCTTTTGGGCTGCCAGCCATGTTGGATTGCATCAAAAAATCTATTAATACTCCACACTGAACAAGGTCATTAATTGAAAAACCTCACATATAAAGCCTCAACCCCTGCCACGATACAGAGCAGCTGTTCTTTCCTGGTGTCTGGGGTGCATTTCTGGGGGAAACCACTGATTTCTCAGTGCCAATCAGCTGTCAATAATCATGGCTGGAGCAAGAGCTGGAAGAGTCTTATCTAACTGGGCCCATCCCCTTGGACTTGTAAAAATATGCAATATGTCTTAAGAAGAAAGTTTGATGATTAGCAAAAAAAAAACCAAAGAAGACTCCTATTTATGCAGGCAGAGCCCACTGTATAAATGCTATCTGAAACCCTGGGAGAGGTCTGAATGTGGGAGACACCTCTTGAAGACAAGATAAGATTCAGGGGGAGGAACTCCCCCAAATGATTACGGGATCACCATGGTTAAGAGATTGTCGACACAAATAGAAAAGCTCTCCTGCACCAAAGCGAAGAGTAAGTATCCAAGCAGCCCAAGGTACATCAGGGGACTTAAAACCAAGCACATTTACCCTGGAGATGAAAGCACTCATTGTGAAGCAACAGAGGTTTCAAGGTAGCAGAGTAGCCAGGATCTCTGTGTAAAGCTGAAAGCCAGCGCGGGATGGTGGGGGGCTGTGGAAAGAAGGGAACCACGTCTCACGAAGCATATTACAGATGCCAGCTTACTCCATCTCAGAACGGCCTCTGGGAGTGACAGGCAGCCCACTCACAGGTCTGGAAACAAAGCCTCGATCTCAGTGGCAGCTTAGCGGGAGACGGGAGAGCCACACAGAGGTCCTCAGGTCCAAACTGCAGGCTCTT